GCAGTAAGGACTGAGTCGATTTTCCCCAATGTGGTGATTGATATGTTGGTGCTGTTTCATGCAGAGTGAACCACCAGAGTCCTTTGGAAACCAGTGTGCATGTCTGTAAAAGGAGACTACTGAGCCAATCTCTGCAGGCCACACAGAAAATTGAATGTAGAACTCACACAATTCATTGCTCAAATTGGCTTTACTAACAAGCCAGTTCCCCTTGCAAAGGTATTATCTGTTAGAGCTAAGAAAAAAAAAAGAGGACCTTAAGTATCCTCTCTAATCAAGCTCTTCATTTTATGAAGATATGAGAGAGTAAAAGTAACTATCCAGTGGTCAAGGATCAGTAGAAGAGATATGATTGGAAACTGAGACTCTAGATGCCTAGCTTCTGTATGACCGACACCTAAAAATGTCAAGGGGTAGAGAATAAGTGTTTCTTCACGTTAAACTGAATTTCCTCCAAGCCAGATTTTCCAAATCTCTAGATACTGATGTGCTTGAGTTCAATAACTTAATGGTCTGGAAATGTTTTGCATTCCTTAAATGAAAGACACTGCAGAAGGCTATTTTAAATGGCCTTGAGACTGAGGCCACCGCCCTTGTGTGGGGTCAGTCTTTGGTCAGGGTTATGTGTTGGGTTCACGGGCTTCTGTACTGTAGGCTCAGCTGCTCTGTTGCCCCAGCTATTGGAGAAACTGCACAGCCTCTCTTGCCTCTGTTAGCCCTGTTTGGAGACTGGTGGTTGGTAATATCAGGGCATGAATACTGCAGAACCCTGACAGACCAAGGTATAAAGTCAAACGGAGGCCTGTTGGACTGGGGGTGATGGGTTTATGGAGACTCCTGAGATAACTAAGGGCTATCATGCACAGAAAGCTGAGGGTCTCATCTTAAACATGCATCAGAGGCTCCTGAAAGGTTTGTTAAAACAGAATTCAGGTCCCTCCCTCAGGGTTTCTGGTTCAGTAGTACATCTGAATGGGGCATACAAATTTGCATTCCTGTCAAAATTTCCTCGATGATACTGAGGCTTTGGTAGGAGGATTGCACTTTAAGAGCCACTGGAATACAGCATGATGTGTTGATGCACACAGCTGAGAGCCAGCAACACACAGCTGATAGCCAGTAATTTGAATGGAATATAAAGAATTCTGGACGCTCTCTCTGTAATGGGCTTTCTGGGCAAGGACTTCAGCTTTTTCCTTTGGGTCAGCTTGGGTCTTGAATGATGTGGCCAGCATTTAGGAAGGCATTTGATATTCTGGTTTTAATGTAAACACTTCCCACCTGTCCCAAGTATGTGTATCCCTTTCCAAGAGCTTCAACATTTCTGACATTGGTGGGACCCTGATCTTTTCTCTCCTCCCCTTCTCACTCTTGCCCTCTCTCCTGGCCAGCATCTGTTCTTTTCACAGCTGTGGCTGTTTCATTCTGTCTGCCTCTCTCTCTTCTTGTCCCCAACCTTTCACCCCCCACCCCCCTCCCCACCCCACCATTAGGATCAAAATACTCTGTTTTTATTTATTTACTCCACAGCTGTCAGTGTTGTGTCTGGGTTATTGCAGTGCAGCTTGCGGGGAAATGCGATCCATGGTGACTCCTTAAAACTGTAGATACTTGTAGTAACCAATGTACACGTAGTCAATAACAGACACCTTTCATGGTCCCTGGGATTGTCTGAAAATGGGAGGCTTGGGGCTGTGTGTCAGGGTGACCCGAGGAGGAATGAAGAAGCCTAATGGCCCTCGGAATTTGCACCCAACCATTTAAAGGTATGGAACAATCCTGAGTATTTAAAACGTTAGCACTAGCAAAGGATACAGAATAGTTCAGTGGAAAGAACTCTAAATTAGGAGTCAGAAAACTGAAGTTCTAATTTCAGCTTTGCCACTAATAAGCTGAGTGACCTTGAAGAACATGTTTTCTCTCCATATCTATCTTGGTCTTTCTCCTTCTCTCTCTCTCTTCTCACTCATTCACTCTCTTTCTTCTTTCTCTTTTCTCACTTATGTTTAAGTTAAAAAAAAAGTGGACCTGATGATTCCCAATGTCCTGTTTTCAGTGGATCTAAGTTATAGATATGTGAAGATTCCATTGAATGTTTGATTCCTATATGGTGGCTTCACATATTATACATAGTGATCTCAGGCTGGGTTCTAGGGAGTTTTCAAGTTTTCACTGAAGTAACTGCAAAAATAGAAAGTGTAAGATTTTGAGGCAGAAACTAGGATAATGAAAGCAATATGCATTAATAAATCAACCTATGAGGATGTATTCAGCGAATAACATGTCTAAAGGAAATTTGAGAGGGGCAGCCTGAAAAGCGTTAATTTCACCAGTAGTAGAAAAGGCACTCAGCCAGAACAGGTACAGGAAGGAGAATCAATATAGAAGAAGAAATGATGTGAAACAGAATGAAGGCAACTAGACCCTGTGTTGTGTTCTTTCTTTCATATCCATGTTCTGAGCAAAACCAGCCTTCAGGATAAGTAGCATAGAGTCATGCAGATAGCAGTGGGGAAATGACATAATATGTGAAATTAATGAACTGCTTGGTGAAATTTTCAATTCAATCATACTGATTTCTCACATTACTAGATAATCTTCCTGGGAAGTGGTTAGTGTCATATCTGGTTAAAAAAAAATCCTTCTTAATGACTGTTGCACTCCTGTAAGCCTAATTTATTATTTTTTTTTGTAGAGTCCTAATATTTTCTGTTGCCAAGTGGTAACTACCAAAAAAAGATAAAAAATTTCATTAGATAATAATTCACTTTTTAGAGCCAATTACAGTCTATAATATAGAATCATACCCTTTATTTCATTTGTTTAATACAATAACTCTATGAGGTAGCCAAGTAATCATTATTTTCATTCTTCATATGAAAATATGAAGTTTGCTAAGTTATTTGCTTAGCTCACACAGATATTATGGTAATATCACCAAAACACAGATTTTAATTACAGTTGGTCATTGAGCAACACAGGCTTGAACTGCACAAGACCACTTATATGTGGATGTTTTTAAATAAAACTTACACAGAGTGTGCCTGTGTCTTCTGCCTCCTCTTCCAGCTCCTCTACCTGTTTTCATCTCTGCCATCCCGAGACAGCAAGATGGAGCGCTTCTCTTCCTCCTCATCTTCAACTACTCTACATGACAAATTTTATGATAATCTACTTCCACTTAATGAATAGTAGATATATTTTCTTCTCTATAATTTTCTTAATAACATTTTCTTTTATCTAGCTTATTTTAAGAATACAGTAAATAATACATATAACAGACAAAATATATGTGAATCGATTGTCTATGTTATCAATAAGTCTTCAATATTTAAGTTTTGGGGGAGTAAAAAGCCTCAGTCATGGGGTGCCCAGATATTTAGTCAAACATTACTCTGGGTATTTCTGTGAGGGTGTTTTTGGATGAGATTAACATTTAAATCAGTAGAGTGAGTAAAGCAAACTGCCTTCCCTAGTGTGGGTGGGCTCATCCAATCAATTGAAGGCCTGCATTGAACATAAAGGTTGACTGCCTGCCTCTACCCCCAGAGGTAAGACAGAATTCTTTCTGCCTGGTGGTCCTTGAACTGAGATATTGGCTTTTGGCTTTTTTCTGTCTTCAGACTAAAACTGAAACACTGGCTCTTCCTGGGTTTGAGTCTGCCAACTTTTGAATTGAAACTACGCCACTGGCTCTCCTGGTCTCCAGCTTGGTGACTCAGCCTGCAGTTCTTGGGACTTGTCAGCCTCCATAATTGTGTGGGCTAATTTCTTATAATACATTTCTTTATTATTTATACACACACACACACACACACACACACACACACACACCCTCTTAGTTCTGTTTCACATGAGAACCCTGGCAAATGTAGAGTTTACTTATTTGTTATATTATTTTTCAAGTCTTCAACTCCTCTTTAAACTAAATATATGCACTTATTATTCTAGAGCATGGGGACATAACTTCACAAAAGTAGTATAGAAAATAGTCATTTGTAAAAGAAATCAGTATGCCTATTAACATTTCCTCATTAATGTCTTCCAATGAAAGGCATGCTCTAAATTTAATATGATGAAAGAATCTTTCAGTGAACATATGTGCAAAATGTTTTCAATTTCAATAAGTGCCTATTGAGCAATAATAGCTTTGCTGGGTAAACTAGTCGAGCTCTCAGAGGGACCTTAGAAATTATTTGATGAAATTTCTTTATTTTAGAGAAGTCCAGTAATGACCATAATTCACCCAACAATTCAGTCAGAGAATTACACTAAAACATTGCAGTGTTGGTTTCCATCCTCAGAGCCTATCTTCCTATAACTCACTTAAGGTCAACGGTATTTTCGAGCATGTAGCTTACTTAATCTCAACTATTTCATCACAAACAATTCAATCATAGGCTCTTTAGGGACTTACAAGTCACCAGATATGTACCAAATCCTATTGATAACAATACTTGGAATTTTTTTTTCTTTTTTGTTTTTGGAGATGGAGTCTCACGCTGTTGCCCAGGCTGGAGAGCAGTGGCATGATCTCAGCTCACTACAACTGCAACTTCTGCCTCTTGGGCTCAGGAATTCTCCTGCCTCAGCCTCCCAAGTAGCTGGGATTACAGGTGTGCACCACCATGCCTGGCAAGTTTTTTTGTATTTTTAGTAAAGAGGGGGTTTCACCATGCTGGCCAGGCTGGTCTAGAACTCCTGACCTCATGATTTGCCCACCTTGGCCTACCAACGTGCTGGGATTACAGGTGTGAGCCACCGCATCCAGCCAATACTTGGAAATTTTAATCAGGTATTTGTTGAGTTTCTAGGCAATAAATTGACAATAGTATTCTAAAGTGCAGAGAGCCCTGGTTTATGAGTCAATGAGGAATACATTTTTACCAATAATTTTCTGGCAGTCCTTAAGCAAGTCCCTTAATTTCTCTGGGTCTTTATTTTATCATTAGTAAAATTATGAGGCCTTTTTAGAGATTTCATTTTTTTCTGATTTTCAGGCAGCATGACTCAATTTTGGCTATTTTATGGATATTCAGGATGATAATGACAAGATGAATTCCATTATCTTAAAGGGTGAATGATCTGTGTCACTGACCTTTTGATTTGTCTCATTGTGTATTGTTTGTGTACTTCCTATCAAATTTGTGTTTTAATTTTGAACGCTCAGTCTTATCAATATATAGTGGTTTTGGACATTGTTTACTAAAAGTTATCTGTCCTGTAAAAGAAAATAACTGCAGAAAGGTAGTTTCATTTATGGGAAGTAATTCATTGAAATCTAACTGTGAATAGATTGTTAAATATCTATTTGATTTTGTTTATGAAATTGACAGAATTTTAGTTTTGGGTGAAATCAGTTCAGCACACAATGAGAGGAATGTGGTGGCCCAAACCACCATTGGCGAGCAGACTAAAGATTCTCAAGTGGCCTCTAGTTGGAATGAATTGCTTTGTAGATTCTTTCCATCTCCAATTCTCATGATTCTGCAATAACTCTACTTCCTGAATGTAAAAATAGACTGTAAGTAGAGCAGAGAAATGGTGGCTGTCTTCCACCCTAGGAAGAAAAGTTTTTCTTTAAGGTGAGTCAACCATCCACAAAGCTGGATGGGCCCAATTCCCAACAGGTTCACCTTTTTTCAACTCAAGGGAAAGATCATCTAACTTTTTTTTCCTTTTTCTTTTCCTTCTCTATTTTTTGCCACCTAACTTTTGAAGGCCTTATACAACTGAGAATACTGAGAGAGAGCAGACACATTCTTGGATGTGAAAAGGTACTCTAAAAATACAGATCTCATTGACCTGGCACCAACAGGCTCTTATCCCATCCTCCCCTTCCTCCTACCCCTATCCCTGCAGTCTATCTCCAGTAAAAGTAGCATCCAAATATAAAATAGATGGGTCGTGTCCCATTCCATGGGATCTTGAAATGTCTGCACTTAAAACAGGATAAAGTTAAAGCTGCGTTTGAAGTGACCCAAACTAGGGCACCAAGAGCAGCTGCTCTTACTTCCAGCTGGATCCCTCAGCCTGGCAACAAAGGGGAGAGTTACCTTGACAGATTCTCATTTCCGGGCATTTGGAGATCAGCTGTACATATTGTTTAAGGCAAAAGACTGATAAGTTCAAAGCAGAACAAAACAGAAAACAAGAATCAGAACAGCAGTTAAAAAATATTCCAATCTAATTTATTTTTAAAAGAAATAAAGTATGAATAATACACACAGTGTATTCTGTACTATTTTAAGTGACATACATTTTATGTCTTTCTATAGTTTTCTTAACTCAGCTGCTTCTGAATGTATTAGTTGTTCAATATTCAGGTTGAGGAGACAGATATCCTAAACTTTGCAGATACATTTTGACAACTACATCGAGAAAATGAGCTAGAACTATGTAGAGGCTTGGTATACAACACAAAGCTTAAAGTAATGGCAAATGGCTTAGCAGTTAGAGAATTCACATTTGTTTGCTCTTATTACCTAAAGTTTACTGAGACTCTATATTTTATAAGGCATTGTGTTAAGATCTTTGCTTATGTTATTTCATTTAATCCTTACTGCAAAATTTTAAACTAAGACATTATTAGTGCCAGGTAAATATAGGGCACAAGGTTCAGAAAAATTATATTTACCTTGTTTATACAGCTAGACAGTGGTAGATTAATGATTCAAACTCAATCCACCTAAACTACAGGCCTGTTTTATAAACTACTACATTTCATGGTAGGAAAAAAAAATAAAAACAATTGAAATTGTAACTGACATTTTTCTTTTCTAAACATAGTGCTTTCTGTAACACTATTATGTTGCCCTGACAAATTAGGTAATTCTAGATTTATTAATTAAGAAAAGAGATAATAGAGCAAGATGATTTTTAAATGTCTATTTTTTTCTTTTTGTCTTTTGAGTTTCAAAAATATAGGCCTTGGAGAGGGTCAGAGACTGGCCAATTTTACGCTAACCCCATTTCTTCTTCCTCTTGGCACACAGTTAAATGTTACTTTCCAGCTTCCTTTGCTGTTGAGTGTGACCCAGGAATATGTGTAGAAGTACTATGCCCCCTCCCTATCCAGATCCCTATTCAGATCCGGTGTATTAAAAACAAAACAACAGAAAAAAATTCTCCCACATGGGATAATTATGAATTATCCTTTTCCTTCCCCTGCTGGCTGACTGGAATGAGAAGATCTGCTTGGTAAACACTAAAAGGCATATGTTAGACACAGGGGAGTCACCAAAGTTAAAGATCCTGGGTTCCTGAATCATTGTATGGAGGGGAGTCACTGTTCAGAGGATCCATAACATCTGTTTTAAACTTTCCTGTGAAGAAATATGTTTCTGTTGTGTTTAGACAATCCGAGTTAAGGTTTTTGTGTCACACACTTATATAGATGACAATGAAAAGGAATTTGAAAAATTTGGAAGATATCTGACATGTATGTTTATGTAAGAGTCCACAGTCCAGATGAGGATTTCCTGAAAATCTACAAGACTAATGACCTGGTCTCTTCAAGAAAAGATCTTAGGGGTGAGGGTGGAGCACAAAGATTGATAAAGAACTTTGACTACTGAAAATAAATTTAAAAGATATATCAATTAATAGCAATAAATCATTCTTATTTGGATCCTAATTCAAGCAAACACATTGTTTTAAAAGTAAAATATTTGTTAGACACTCAATGAAGTGTGAAATATGTGAATACTAAGTAGACATTTGTTGATATTAAGGAATTAATGTTTTTTTCTGATAACAGTATTGTGTGATTTAAAAAAAACACTTATTATTTATAGATTATTTAATGTTTACAAATTGAAACAATAAATGTCTGAGATTTGCTTCAACAGTACATTGGCATGGAATGAGTGGGAGTCTAATTAAAACAAGATTAGCTTTGAGTAGATGATTGCTGAAGCTGGGAGGTGGGCACATGAGGTTTATTATAATATACTTTCTTCATATTTGTACGTTTGAAATTTTCTATCATTAAAATTTTTAAAAATTCCTAGGTTGAGAAGAGAACTGAGTCCCAACGCAATGAATATGTAAAGATTCATTGACCTTGAAAAGTTTCTAGATACTGAAAATGTTCCTCTGAAGCTTTTTCCACCGTAGACCAAAATTCTGGACAAGAAAATCATGTAAGTTTAAAAATTAGCCGGGGCTGAGGGGCCCGTGCCTTGCTTTCCAGGAAAGTCTGAGCAGGGATCAAAGCCCAGTTCAGGAATAACTGCATGGCTTATGCAAACCAGGACTTAGCTCAGAGTCCCCTATGACCCGTCGTGCACCAGGAGATGCAGAAGGAAGCGAAGGAGACGCAGAGAAAGGACTCACTGACTACAAGAAGGAGGGATGGACCTAGGGTCATTAATTACATTTGTGGTGGATATTTCAGTGGATAATTACATAGCAGTAGAAACTCAGACGTTTACTGGTGTCTTGGCATGAAATAAAGCCTTTGGAACTTGCATGAAAACCTAAGGAAAGGAGAAGAACCCTGAAGTGACCAAATTACTTTTCTACTATCCAGTGAAATGGGACTCCAACATATACATTAGGTTGAATCCTATACAAATAAAAAAATGTAAAATGTTTTCCCACCTGTGTGTTTGAACTGCAATTCTTATACAATGACAGTGCCTCTCAAAAAATCGAGTGATACTTCCACTACGTTTACGTACCCTAGCTAAAGCTCTAAACACAATCTTTCTTCCATTATTTTTCCTCTTCATTACCTTTATCTCAGCTTTTTAACTCAGCTAAATATTTAAATTCTTAGTTCATTTAGAAAAGTTCTTCCTGGGAGATGAAAACTCTGGGTTAGCGCCTGGATTCGGCTAGTAGCTATTTGCATGACTTGAGAAAATAATGTGCCTCTTTGGACCTCAGTTTTTTTGTCAGTGAAATACAGTTTTTATTCTCAATCTATACTCAAATTCTTTTGTAGAATGAGTGCATGTGTGATTCTTCATAGTTCCTGGAGTATCAGAAAATGTCAGACTCTACTGTGTAGATTTACTGGTTGACCCTGTATATGAGGCTTCACTGATCATCATCTAAAACAGAATTTTCTCAAGCTGGATTTGGAGTTAAGGATTGAAGTAATCAGTACTTCCTGTACGTGATGTTTCTGGGGGAAATTATAAAATGACAAATCCTAAATTCATAAGAAATCTTACAGATCATTCTTCTGTGACCCAGAGACAATATTACTTGTCTGACATTATATGATTAGTGGTAGAGTCATGCTCTGAATCTGATTTTTTTATGACTTAGGGTTGTTATTTTTTCCTTTTTCTTTCCAGCCTCAAATATAAAGCCATAGATTTCAATATATCTATTATTGTTATTCAATACTGAATACCATTATGAAGCATCCACTGTATACAGAGCAGAGAAAGTTTCTGTACAAGCAATGTGAGTCACCACAGGGGTGGGTAACAGTTGAGATGGAAGGAGCACCCATGCTAATTAATTGTACCAGATGATGGAATTCCAACTGGGCTTCAGTGAGGGCTTTCTTTGAGGTTTTTAAAAAAATGCTTTGAATATAAAGTTGAAAAAAGTACCCTTCTGGGAGAAAAATGTTATTTGAGCTGGGCCCTGCAATTTGTTGAAAATTTTGACAAACTTGTGATGGGAGAAATGAGGAACAATATTACAGATAAAAAGAACGTTCATAAATCCCAAAAGAAAGAATATGTACAGTGTTCGAGGGAAATCTCCATTATACTGATGTGCCTGAAGTCGTGGTAAGGCTAGAAATTTAGATCTTGGGCTTGGACTTTCTCAGGCAAGAAGGAGTAGTTAAGTAATTACAAAAGTAGCTAAAGGACACAAGCAACGATGAAAGTGTTGTAAATGCAGTTTCTTAGGGTCAGTTTCATAGTTTTTTTTTTTTTTTCGAGACGGAGTTTCACTCGTGTTACCCAGGCTGGAGTGCAATGGCGCGATCTCGGCTCACCGCAACCTCCGCCTCCTGGGTTCAGGCAATTCTCCTGCCTCAGCCTCCTGAGTAGCTGGGATTACAGGCACGCACCACCATGCCCAGCTAATTTTTTGTATTTTTTTAG